TAGTTTCAATATAAAAAAATTTATGTACACCATTAATTGTGTATACATATCTAAGTCAATATATGTGATATACATGTACATACATCTACATACATATCGTCGTTTAAAGTACAAAACCATGTATCAATAAATTGCAAAACCGCGTATAGAGATAATGCAAACCCACGTATGCGAGGTTGCATAAATTAATTTCTAGAGAGTAAAAACACTCATATTTCAAAATGGTTATCTTTTTGTAAAAAGCAATCGCATTTTTGGCTAGTATATTTCAGGAAGAATGGATAAGGATTGATCCAAAAACGTGTGTGAGCGAATCCAATTTTTAGCAGCAAATGTCAGTTACGCGGTTTTGTACTTTAAGCGACGATATGTATGTTAACAGGAACGCAGCAATCTAATACACGGGTGGAGCAGGAACGCAGCACAGCAGAAGCATACAAAAAATCTGCAAATAAATGGTTTTTTAGGTTTTTAACAAACGAGAACCTGGTTTCAACTTACTTCAACGTGTCTAAATCACAACGCACACACTAATGCAAAGGCGCAACAGGACCGAACACTATAAAACACGGGCGGACAATATACAGGCGGAGCAGTAACGCAGCACAGCAGAATCGTCCGAAAAATCTGCGAATAAATGGTTCATTAGGTTTTGAAATAACAAAGAGCTCAAATGGAATGGTTCATCAATAAAGTCAAAATAATATGTTGTAACTTACGTGTATTAGCTCTTAATCACAATACCAGCACAGGTCGGTCAGCGAAACACTAAGGAAATGACCTAATAAATGCAAAATTATAATTTATTTGTAAAATAATACTTACCAAATTTCACGCAATTGGAAAACAAATGTCAGCGAATAAGAACAAAACGAACAACGAAAATTGAATCAATGTAGCTTGTTCAGAATTTTTTTCTAATATTTTGGGAAATGTTCAGTGAAAATAGCAAAGAAACAACACAGTTTCTCCTAAGGTAGTTCAAGATGGCGGATTAGAGCGAGAAGTTGCCAACGTATAACACCTTTCATTATTGCATCATGAGTTAAGCGAACGTTTCAAAATATGGTTTTCAATCGCTTCGTTTT